TTTTGGTCTTTTTGAGACAGGGTCTCCCTGTAGCCCCAGCTGCCCTGGAACTCACTATGTAGACCAGGCTGGCCTTGAACTCACAGAGATCCACCTGCCTCTGCCTCCTGAGTGCTGGGATTAAAGGCGTGCGCCACCACGCTGGGCTGAGGATAATGATTTTTATCATTACTTAAAGGAGATGTTAAACACCATGTCCCTGACATAGGCCTGGCACACAGAAGGCTATCAACATGTGGTGACTTCACTGCTGTGTGTCACCTACCACCAGATGAGGGTGGTGGCATTTTCCAACTTGCCTAGAATAGGTTAGGCCATTGTCATTCTTGTGATGTTGGAAAAAAAATCTTAGGACAATCATTTTTCTCCAATTTTTCTGTCTTTCATTTTAGGGAAAACCAAGACCAGAATTGACCTGGAAGAAGGATGGCCAGGAAATTGATAAGAATCAAATAAACATCCGCAACTCGGAGACGGATACAATCATATTTATCAGAAAAGCAGAGAGGAGCCACTCTGGGAAGTATGACCTGGAGGTCAAAGTGGACAAATATGTGGAAAGTGCATCTATCGACATCCAGATCGTCGGTAGGTTTGAAGGAAGGAGTTAGAACATTCTGCCAAGGGACAATGAGGTCTAATTGTCTTTGTCAGGAGAAAGATGGGACTCTATTAGTCTCATTCTACACATGCAAAAATAGTTTTCTCAAGATTAAAAACATGGATGTTAGTAGAGTTGTTAGTAATTCAAAATATCTTTTCACTAACTAAAAGTATACGAATCACAGGTGATCTGGGGACATATATCAAGAAAAATTAATGGATGCCCTTTGGTGAGTTCCATCTCTCCTGCTTCATAGTCCAGTTCTCTCTTGCTTTTAATTTAATTAAGCTCAACTTCCTGATGATTAAAGTATTTTCTATGTTGAATTCTTACATTGCAAAACATTGTAGTTTCTAGATATAGCTTAACATGTTTCTTGCTAAACCTAAAATTCACTAGCTGTCAAGTTTGAATGGAGAATGAAGAATTTTTAATAACTGTAAAGAAATGTCACACAGTTAAACACAAGAATGAGTTGATCCTTCAGGGATAGTCAGTTGCCTATAGAAAGTAAATAGTTCTCACTTTCATCCAGAGTGGGGGAAACAGAGTAAGGGTCATTTATGCAAAGACCCTTCTTGCTTGAACTGTTCTATAATTTTTGCAATGTCAAGTGATAAATTTAGAGGGTAAGGCAGATGGCTCAGAGAGTAAGAGACTTGAGTTTGGATTGAAGTATCCACATGATAAGCTAGATGTGGTCTTGTGCATACCTATAGCCCCAGCACTGAGTGGGAAGGAGACAAGAAGATCATCAGGGTATGGTAGCTGCCTACCTAGCCAAAAAACAGGAGATCCAGGTTCAGGTAGAGACCCTTCCTTACAAGAATAAGGTGGCGAGTGATGGAGAACACTCAATGCCCTCCTCTAACTTCCTCATGTGTACATACCCCCAAACACATGTGCATACATAACACACACATGTACCAAACTCATACACATGCATACACAGTTACACTCACACACACACACAATATGAAAGAGAGAGAGAGAGAGAATAGAGAGAGAACAGAGAAATTTAAGAACCAGGCATGCATGTGGTACATGGTTGTAATCCCAGCCCATGGACGATTGAAGCAGGAGAATACTGAGTTTAAGGCCACCCTGCATTACACAGAAAGATCTTGTTTTGAAAACAACATAACAAAACAATTAAATAGCATCTCTAAGAGAAGCCTTGTTTCCAAACATTTTTATTTGTTTCAGTAAGTTTGTTGGAACACTCTAAACCAAAGGATCAACTTGCCTGTCTTTGGGTAGAAGTTCATGCCTTTTTTTTTTTTTTTTTTTTTGCTCTTTTTGAGACAGGGTCTCCCTGTAGCCCCAGCTGTCTTGGAACTCATTATGTAGACCAGGCTGGCCTTGAACTCACAGATATACACTTACCTTTGCTGGGATTAAAGGCGTGCACCATCACACCCAGCGAAGTTCATGGGGATTTTTTGGTTTTTTGTTTTTGGGTTTTTTTTGGTCTTTTTGAGACAGGGTCTCCCTGTAGCCTCAGCTGTCCTGGAACTACGTGGACCAGGCTGGCCTTGAACTCACAGAGATCTGCCTGCCTCTGCCTCCCAAGTGCTTGGATTAAAGGCGTGTGCCACCACGCCTGGCAAAGTTCATTGCTTTTTAAACCAAGCACTGTTGTCCCTCTGACTGGAGTTTTGCTAAGCTGAGAGGCATGTATGACTGTGCTTTTGGTTGTCTGGGCTCCGCTCTTATGGAGGGAAGTGCAGGTTCTGTGCAGCTCTGTGGCAGGGTCTGGAAGGACACTCACTGCCTACTGTAAGAGGGCAAAGGCCATTTTGAGATATCCTTGTGTAACAGGATAGACTTGCAGGGAAAGTGATCTCACAGTGCTGGCATGAATTCATCCTATAGACCGTCCGGGTCCTCCTCAAGCTGTGAATATTGAGGACGTCTGGGGAGAGAATGTTGCTCTCACATGGACACCTCCGAAGGATGATGGCAATGCCGCCATCACAGGGTACACCATCCAGAAGGCCGACAAGAAGAGCATGGTAAGTCCATCTTCCTTTGACCTGTAGCAGGAGCAAAGTCACATTCACAAGAGGTAGTGCGGGTAGCCTGAGGTTTTTCTGCTCAGGAGCCTTTGGGGACCATGGCAGAGTGATGTGGCTCAGCTGAAAAGGTTGGAGCCACAGAGTTGGATTAAGACCCGGTATTGCCACTTAAGTCACATGTGGATGACCAGTCCTTTGACCTCCTTGCTCCTTATCTATGAAATGGAGGCACAAATACTTGCCTTATTTAGTTATTATAAAGCTAAGACAGTTAAAGCAGCTAGGGAAATGCTCAGTGGAATTCCATTCATTCATTCAACAAATATTTACTCACTAGGCAACTCTTTCTCCTTGTGAAAAACATTTCGCAGTACTGATATAGGCGTACAACTAAAAAAAAAAAGGATAGACAACAGCTAGGAAAGAAAGATTCTATGCCAGGTGTGGTGGCACACTCCTTTAAACCCAGCATTCAAAAGGCAGAGGCAGGCGGATCTCTTGTGAGTTCAAGGCCAGCCTGGTCTAAAAAAATAAAAGATTTTAAAAGTTATAGTATATGTGAAGGTTCTAAAGAAGAAAACAGCTTTGTGTGTGCAAGATCCAACTCAGTGAGAATAATGATTTATTGCAATCTGTATTTATAGATGGGGAAATTGAACCTCATAAAGGATCAGTGGCTTTCAGATAATGGCTAGAATTTCTGTATTAAAAGCTGAAAAATAATCCATAAAACACATCTTCCTTTCGACCTACCTATGAGAGAAAGAATGTATAAAAGAGTGATTAGACACACAATGTAATAAAACACCATAGTGAATGATCTTGCTAGAAGGTCTTCATGCATTTAAAGACCTTCTAGGTCATGAAGCTACAGTGGCTTCATCGAAGAAGGGGATTGGCTTGGAAAAGACAGTCTTAAAGACAGGAAGGAATTTTAGAATACTCTTTTCTGTAAACTGTTTTTAGCACATTTTGTTTTGTTTTGTTCCTCTGCGTAGGTACCACATGACCAAATAGATTTGGCATTTAAAGTGACATATTTCATCTAAACTGAGTAGCCAGAGAGCTAAATTGATGGGTGACCTAGAAGGGGAAGGGTTTTGAACTTCCTTTGCAATGAGGACTTTTGTTCATCCTTGGGTCTGAAACTGGCAGTGAATGCAGGGGCACCACAGTTTCTTTAGGGGGTCCCTTCTGCAGCTTCCTTTCACCCCCATGACACTTCCACAGCATTTGTCTTCTTTTTAATTTTTTATCATTTTTATTTAAAAACATTTTGTGTGTGTATAAGTGTATTGCCTGCATGTAGGTAAGTGTACCTGTGTCATGCAATGCCCTCGGAGGTCAGAAGAGAGCATCAGATTCCCCTGGAACTGGAGTTACAGACAGTTGTTAGCTGCCATGTGGGTGCTGGGAATTGAACCCAGGTTCTCTGCAAGAGCAGCCAGTGCTCTTAACTGCTGAGCCATCTCTCCAGTCCCCAGTGTTGGTCTTCTTAGATGTCCCACCAAGTCCAGGAGGGCCAGCAGTCCCTTCCACTCCACGTGAAGGTCTGCCTGGTAACACCACACCCACTCCTGTGTTTCTCTTTCATTTCAGTAGGAACAGATCCAGGGACCAGAAGGTATTCCTTCTGCTAATGCTTCTTCAAAGAAATCAGCCACCTGTCTCCTCCTGGCTGCAGATGCCAGTCTTCATTTAAATCCCCAAAGCCATTCACACCTCCCACCAATGTTGTTTTCATTACATGTGCCCCAACGTTCTCTTTTTCATTCTCTTACTATATGTGGAGCACTGTTGTAGCCTCTGAAACAAAATAAAGACAACCCTTATTCTTGGGGTACTCATAGTCAAGGCAAGAAGAAAGACTTTTAAAAACCAAATGCTAAAGCAATATAGAAAAAGTTAGAATAAAGCTTTGCATAAAGAGTTTTGGGAGGAACTGGAGAGATGGCTTAGTGGTTAAGAGCACTTGCTGCCCTTGCAGAGGACAAAGGTTCAGTTCCCAGCATCCACATGATAGCTCACAACCAATCAGCTGTAACTGTAGTTTCAGAGGACCTCACAGCCTCTCTTGGCCTCCATGGGCACTGCGTGCGCATGGTGCACATGGATACATGCAGGCAAAACACTCACTTATACGAAAATTTTTTAATTATATACAACAGCTTTGGGAATAAAAGATAAATGAATAATCATGTTTGTCTGGCATTTAAATTATCCAAAATTCATAGATAAGTTATGACTATGAAAATTATAAGAAAAATGCTTTTCCTTTATGAAGTATGTTTTTTGTTAGTAAATATATTTTCTTTATTAACAATACTAAAGATATTTGGTATAATGTGGCCTTCTACTGGCAACAAGGCAAATTTTGAAACTATTCTATTTCTTGGAATCATAAGGAAAGAAAAAGTTTTAAAGCAGCTTTAACTTATTCACTTAGTCATTAACTAGCCAATACCTATTTTGTGCACTGCATCTACTAGGTGCCAGGTACTGTGGTAGGCTCTGTGAAGTGAGAAGTAAAGTCAGGTTTTATGTTAATGGTATAACCACTGCAATTGAGAGGTAAAGAGTAAACAAGTAAAGTGTGTGTGTGTGTGTGTGTGTGTGTGTGTGTGTGTGTGTATGTGAATATAATAAGTGTGGGGAAAAACAGTCAGGTTAAGGTCAGAGTATGTGTATCTACAGTGGTACAGATGGAATGATGGGAGGAGAAACAGGCAAGGAAGGGGTGATAGCTAAAAAGACCGAAACTAATAAATTAGGTAAAATTACTGGGCACTGTTAAATTTTCTCTAGCGAATTAATGCCATCTCTTCCTCTTAACAAAAAATTGCCACCTAAATTCTATAATTATACTTTGTCCCAAAAAGATTAATAGATTAGTGGGTAGATAAATAGATGACAGACATACAGTTATGAAAAAATATTAGGTATCAGTGGACTGTGTGAATATAATGTGTAAATGAAAAATAAATTACAGTCAATTGTAAATAAATGATAAAGAATTAAACACATGTATACCACCATTGTTTTGAATATAAATATAGTGCTGTTTTCATTAATGGCATATGCTTTTTATTTATTCCAATTAATAAGTGATTTTTCTTAGATTATAATCATTTTTTCTTTCCCTTCAGGAATGGTTCACTGTCATCGAGCATTATCACCGAACTAATGCCACCATTACTGAACTGGTCATAGGGAACGAATACTACTTCCGGGTCTTTGCTGAAAACATGTGTGGCCTCAGCGAGGATGCAACAATGACTAAGGAGAGTGCTGTGATTGCCAAGGATGGTGAGTTGGCAGTGAACAGGCATTTGGAGAAGACTGCAAATGAGGTGTGACGAAGGGGTTAAGAAAGCATGAGCACATGCTGGGAAGTTATGGTAACAATGTCCAAATAAATTTTCAATTTTGCAGGTAAAAAAATTTCAAGGGGAATTATTATTACAGTTTTTACAAATTTGGGGCTGGAGAGATGGCTCAGCAGTTTAGAACACTGACTGCTCTTGCAGAGGACCTGGGTTCAATTCCCAGCACCCACATGGCAACTAACAACTATCCATCTGTAACTACAGTTCCAGGGGAATCAAACACCCTCTTCTGACCTCCTCAGGTGTTGCATGACATAGGTGCACTTGCATACATGTAGGCAATACATTCATGCACAGTGAAAAAAACAAAATAATAAATAAAATATTACAATTCATTCCAGTTTCTGGTCAGTTAGTTTCTGAATGCTGAATGTCATAGGGATGGGAAAAGGTGTTCACTGACTCCCTGGAGTTCTGTTACTGTGCTCGGATACCTTCAATGTAACATTACATGGGACTTACTCTAGAGAAAGGAGGAAACAAATTCTTTCCTTTCATTTAATTGTAAGTCACTCTCCCTCTAAAGTCCTTCCCTGTAATTTTCACATTAGAACACATTTCTGGTCAAGAAACTTAGACAATGAAGTTTGCTCAGTGTTTTAGTGTCTGATAACCACTTTGTCTTCTGTACCCTCCAGGGTAAATGCCAAGTGGCATTCACTGATGCTTTTCTAAGTTGAGGAAATTTTACTCATTGAGGAAAAAGTATGCCAAGAATAATACATTCTCAAGCCAACTTGTGTTTTTAAATATTTTTAAACATTTTAACACTTGTTTTTAAGGTAAAATCTACAAAAATCCAGTGTATGAGGACTTTAACTTCACAGAGGCACCCATGTTTACGCAGCCTTTGGTTAACACCTATGCCATAGCTGGTTACAACGCCACTCTGAACTGCAGTGTGCGAGGAAATCCCAAGGTACCATATTTTTATGTCACATTATTTAAATGTAAGAATTGATCCCCAAACCCCTCTTTTAGATTTGCCATGTTATAATGGTAAGTAAAAAGATAAATGGGCCTCCTGGCTGCTATTTCTGGTTAACTAATCATAATATTTAATATTTAAATGTAGCAGTAACAACTATGCTATATTTTTATTAACGTATGGATAGCACCTAAAGAAACAAACTCCATAATTTTAAAGAACTGAGAAATAAGGAAATGGAATATTGTTTTACCTGGAAAAAATAGATGACAATGTTAATTCATCAAGAGGACTATAACACATTGAATATCAATTACACTATAATGCAAGGCAGAATACAAACTGTGATTATAAAGGTACAGAGTGTTAGAACAAGAGGAGTCATATCTGAGTAAGAGATTTGGAAAGACTTTGAATTTTTATGCTTTGGGTGTTTAAAAATAACAGTGAATTAATAAATGTTATCCATTGAGCTCTGTATTTCTGGGTGGCTCTGAGGCAAAGGACTCTGAGACTGTGGAAACTATAACAGTCGTACAATGAAACATGCTGACGGTGGTATATACCTTGGGCACAACTAATGTAGCTAAAGAGAGAAGCCAGAAGGTGTGTGAGAGGAAGGTGCTGAATTAAGGTACAAACAGAAGTGGTGTGCCTCCATGTAGTCGAATGGGGAAGCAAATGGAAAAGTTCACCCAGAGCTTGGGAGGAAGGCCAGGCTGGCAAGGCTCTCAGTTGGGGAGTACCACAAGTCACCGGAGTATCTTTGAGGAAAGAGGGTAGTGAAAAGGAAAGTACCTAGGTGTGAGCTTCAGGGAATACTGCCATTTGTAAGGTAGAAGAAGGGACAGGACTGGGTAAAGGAGACAGGAAAAGCTCCGATTCCAGGTTCTGAGCAAAACTAAGTAACACAGAGAGTGGGAGAGAATGTGGAGGGTGTGTGTTTACAGAAGGAAAGAGTAGGCCAGAAAAGAAGGCATCGTTAATGATTGCAAATGTAGATCAGAGGTCAAGGCACACAGTCATCTTTCTGGGTGACTGGATAATTATTGATCTTATGTTATCCAGTTTTAGCAGATCTACCACCATCAGAGGACAAATACAGATGTCAGAGGAGAGGTGAAGTGGTAATGAGGCAAATGCAGCCTATTCAAAATTAGAAAATATCTAGAAAAAGAGGAGACAATTGGATGACCAGGACACCTTTTGGGAATTCTCTGAAAAATACCCAGTAACATAAACTTTCTATTATGAGCTCATATCACAAACTTGTAGATAAATTTTTTAACTTTTATTTATTTTTTATTTTATGTGTATGCGTGTATTGTCTACACGTACTTATAAGTGCACCCGTGTCGTGCAGTGCCCACGCTGGACAGAAGAGGCTGTCGGATCCCCTGGAACTGGAGTCACAGACAGTTGTTAGCTGCCATGTGGGTGCTAGGATTCAAACCCAGGTCTTCTGCAAGAACAACCAGTGTTCTTAACTGCAGAGCCATCTCTCAAGCCCTTGTAGATCAATTTTTAATTGACAAGCAAGGACCAAATATATACAAAGTACGCAATCTGATGATTTGATGTACACATTGTACAATGATTGTCACAATCAAATTAGCACGTCACCACCACACATAATTAGAGGTTCTGAACTCGTTCATCTTATAACTGAATGCTTTGTGCCCTTGTAGATTAATTTAAAATGCAACTGAATCCATCTGGGAAGCTTGACCTAAAGCCATCCTCTGAACAAGCGCAGCTTTCTTCAGAACTGCTCATTTGCTTTCTTGTCAAGCACTAAGTACAGTTTAATTTGAGAGAAACCTTACCCAAGTAGCTGCCTATGCTTTTTAAATGCACTTTCTTCCTAAATCATGCTTTGAAATTCTGTCACTGAAGTTGAGGGTCTGTTACTATGCCACACATAGATAGCCTTTGACCTAACTTTCTTCAATCTGAACGTCAGCCCAAAATCACCTGGATGAAAAACAAAGTGGCTATTGTGGATGACCCAAGATACAGGATGTTCAGCAACCAGGGGGTCTGCACTCTGGAGATTCGCAAGCCTAGCCCCTATGATGGAGGCACTTATTGCTGCAAAGCAGTCAACGAACTTGGGACAGTGGAAATTGAATGCAAATTGGAGGTCAAAGGTATGCTATCCAAGATCTCATTTGTAGGCTTCAGTTTAAAAATATCACTTAACGATCCTCAATGCAAAGTCTAAACTATTTGCCAAAATGCTGTGATTGGGGCTTTCACATTGTGAACTCATGATGCTTTGTTAAAGGACACTCAGTTATTTACATCAACTTGTTTTATTCTATTATTTGAAATTCTTCTTAAAGAAATACTAATTTCAGTGAAGGTGAAATTCAGTGACAGCATGGTAAGAAAGAATAAAGCCAAATAATTATTGTTTGGGTGACGTAGTTCGTCTATAAATAGAAGCCTAGTAGAAAAGCTTATTCAATTAAACTATAAGCACTCAATTGAGAACTATTTAAGACAGATTGCTGCTGGGTGAGGGAGAATATGACTTACATACGACCACTGGATGGACTGACTAGACTCCAGTGGGTGCATTTACATTGAAGGACATTTGGGTGCAAACACCTGAATGAATAGGACTCAGCATGTATGGCAGAGTGCATAGGGTTCAGTGGGGGGATCGGGGAGGCATGGATGAGCGAGGGGTCTGGATTTGAGAGGGAAATGTATGAAATTTTAAAAGCTCAATTAAAAAAACTTAAAAATAAAAGCATGGCCATATTGTTTGCTTAGTTATTTTACAGTGTTTT